TTTCTTTGGCCAGTTTGGCTGTGCCCCCTCCCAGCTTCTTGTGCACCTCCAGCCTTCTCAGTCAGTAGAGCATGGGAAGCTGAAAAGTCCTTGGCTAGTGTAAGCATTACCTAGCAACAACTAAAACATCGGTGTGTTATCAACTTTGTTCTCATCCTAAATCCAAAACACTGTACCAGCTACTAGAAAAGAAATTAACTCTATCCCTGCCGAAACCAGGACAAGCACGTTGCCTCTTAGGAGAGGTCAGGTAAGGAATAGCTCAAGACTTATCTTCCTTCAACTGAATGGCACAACTATTGTGTCAGATTTATTTTAGCATTGGAATGAGAATAATGTTAAAAACCAGTTGTCTTTCATTTTGTTTCAGCGTAAATGAAAACATCAGTGAGGTAGGGTTCTAATTTGGGAAGTTACCTTTGCTTCCAACAAAGCTTGGAGACATCTTCAAGGAGTTTGCCTCTTGCTCCTGTGGTCAAACCTTGAGGACACCATTAATAATTTATACTCCGCATTTTCCTTCTGGGCATTATTCCTCTGATGCATTAATTCAGACAGAAAGACTGAAAAGATTATTTGCTGCTAGAAGCCATGTTCAACTACTAGACTTGCATTATGCAAATCTAAAATTTTGTTGAGGATATGGTGGTGAAGTAACTTGATAGTAGCCTCTTTATCAATTTTTCACTGAACCTGTCTGAAACATCCTTTTCTGATAGAGAAAGGAACATGTGTTTTTGTGAAGCTGAAATAAGTTACTTGTGTAGTTTGACTGGTCAAACCACTACACTGTTAGTGGTCAAGAGACCAAAAAGATGAGATGAATTACAGTGGTCAGGCTGAAACTCTGCTGGGAATATATGAGTATCTCGTATATGAGAGATTATTTGTTTGTCTATTTATCTTTAATTATGAGAGCTTCTGTTTGTGTGGAAAGTATACTTATGTCTGTAACTATTCTGTCTGCGCTGAAACAGCACAATAGCTTAAGATTTGGAAATTCTTTCAGGTTATGGTTTGTGTGCAGCAAAAGCTCAGTACCCTATAGCTGATCTCGTGAAGATGTTGAGAGAACAAGGGAAAAATGTCAGGTAAGTACTTTCTTTGATGAGAAGTATTACAGGTTGGTTGGTTTGTTTTCATTCCATTAAAATCCCCTACAAGTCTGTGTTTTGGTTTAATTTTTCTTTCAGCAGTCATTATTATGCTGATCTGTCTCTCAGAGATACTAGCTGGAGGAATGCTCTAGTCTTATTAACCTATAGCTGAATATATTAAAATTCCATGTGGTAGTGTAAAAGGTATTTCTACCTTTTACTGATTTTTAGAGAATTAAGATCCCTTACTCCCTTACACTCTTTACTAAATTTGGTTTCTGGAAGTAGCCCCACGAGTTGGAGAATAATTTTTTGTTGTTTTTTTCTTTTGTTCTTGTTTGGTGTCATGCTAAAGTTCAGTTAAAAAGAATGGCTTTAAAATTTAATACTTCTTTATTGTAGCAACAAAATCTTACTTTTTTGAAAGGTAAGTTAGCTCCTTTAGATGCATATGCTCTGCCTTTAGTTATAGTAGTGCTTTTCTACAAAACGAGCAGTGAAGTTTTTTGAAAAATAACACTTTAATGTAACTTTTTGTATTGTGTTCAAGAGAACAGTTGGCAGCCTTTTCTAAAGGTGGAGGTTGGAGAGCTCTGTGAAGGCAACCACTTTGTGGAAATTTGTTACTACGAGGTGTAATCACAACAGCTGACTTCAGTGCCGGGAAAGCAGGGAGAATAGCTTTTCTTTATGCTTGTAGTCAATGGGGAGGGAGCACAGGCCTAACTGCAGTGCTTCGAATTGCCTCCTAGAGAAACCTCCATGAAGGGGGATTGTTTACTAGGCTTCAATATTTTTTTAAGTCCTAATTTGCTAAGGAAATGGAACTCTCTGCTTGTGAAGCTGTTGGGGAATAGTTAAAGGGGTGCAATGGGAACAGCTGAGGCTCCTAGGCAGGAAATGAGAGCCTCCTGCAGTATGGAGAAGTGTTTGCTGGGGTCAGTCTGGTATGAAGTGGAAGAGTAGATCAGGTAGCAGCCTCTGCACGAAGAACATGGGGCTTATTTCTTTCCTGGGATAACTGACTTGCATTAATAGAAGTAATGCTTACTATTACACAGCAGTGTTTGTATATATAAAAAATAAATACAGACAGTAACATCCAATTCTGATTGGCATGTTTGAAACAATGCTGAAAAGAATTAACCACACTATGATGTTAGATGCCCTTCTTAGGTTAAAAATCCACAGTTTACCTTGCTGTTTTACTCTTCTGAAAACTTTGAAGACCTGTTAGTTGTGCAGCAAAAGGACCTTTCTTGGCTAATGTGATTATAGTGTCGTGTGCTTTTGGCTTTTCTTCCAGTGCTTCTGTGGGGATGAGCTTTATGTTTTTTTATCAACCTTGGTGATACAAAAGATTATTGGTTTTGCCTTTTATGTTGTCTTTGCAGGGGAGAAATGTGAATGAATCCTTGAAATAACTGGCTTATACTTTAAATGAATCAATTTCAGGAGGGGATCACTGCAGTGGTTACCTAGTGTTTTAATGAAATAAATCTGTATTTACAGTTTGTGGTAATTCAGTCCTTTCATCACTTTGTGAAGCTCCCATGGTGTTCATTGAGTGCAGCTGCTGTCCCTCTGGTTTCAGTAGGTCTGGAGTGCCTCGGGACCCTAGTACGCTCACCATCCAGATGTAGTGACACTCTCACACATCCGCTGTGGAGGGGTGCCAGCATGGACATATGATTATCATCAATTTGTAATGCCCATACTGTGCCAAGAAAAATTGCATCTGTCATACGGTCGTCTTTTGCTTCATGGCTCACGATTGATCCAGAGAAGCTGATGTTTTCATTTACTTTGCCTATAGCCATAACATTCTTAGTGAAGAGCGCAGATTATATAACATGATGCATAACCTTTGACTAGGGTTTAAATTTAGAAATACAGGAGAGTTTGGAAACTTCAGACTGTTTTAGTTATTAAATTGCATAGCTAACATCATTGCTTACTTGAGATGGTCTTGCAGCAGATCACATCTTTAATGCATTAGTAGGATCACAGAGAAAGCTGGATATTGCTGAGCCTTCATTATAGCTTTCCTTTTGTTATGGATGGGTAAAACAACAGAACTTTTCATAGGCTAAATCCTGTAGTCCGCAGAAGCCATTGGCCTTGGAGAGGAAATGCTTGTTCTACAACTGGTGTTGTATTTCTGCAAAATTACAACTGAGTGAATTGTTGAAAGTTCTCGCCTTACCGAAGTTCTTCAGCCACGTGCTGTGTTGTTTGTAGGCCCCTAGTTGTGAAATTCTGGTTTCTTCCATATAATTAAATTATATTCTATAGTAATTTTATTTATAGATATATAATTATTCTATAGTATTGCAGTACAGTTTAAAACTGTATATGTTCTCATATCTGCATGGGTAATTGTTGCTGTCCATGTCCATATCAAGTTAACTACCTTAGCTTTTGCCACAGTATGACTTTCCTAAAACTTTTTCTATTAATGCGTTTTGTTTTCCTGCATAGTAAGAAATTCTTGATAAGAAAAATGTATTGCAGGGTGAAAGGACTCTTAAAATTGTGCTTTTATAGACTTTCTAAATCTAGCTCATAATTAAATATGGTGGCTTTCCGGTAATTCTCATAGT